TTTTATGTGGTGCTGAGGATGGAACCCACTACCTCACACATGCTGGGCAAGGGCTCTACCACTGGGCTACAGTCCCAGCCCCTGGTGGTAGGTGTTTTAAGCCACAGGAGTGTGACATGGATACTGCAGCCCTGGGAAGCCAGTGCACGCTGCACCGTTTTGTCCCCCAGATTGTTGGTGTCTGTTGTAAAGTCCTTAGGAAGCTTGGATTCAGCAGGGAATAACAGTCCACCTGAGCTCGGAGCTGCGCCACCTGTAGTTGGCGGGTGCTCCTGGGCAAGTCACATGTCCTCCAGGCCCGGTCTCCTCATCTGTGCAGTGGACAGTCGAGCTCACCCCTGGGCCAAGTGGCATCAGCTAAACGGTGCAGAGGGCTTCATGCCAGGACACAGCTCATGCTCACGGACCTGTCAAAGTCGGAAGTTCACAGGTGACAAACAGTGACCAGTGTAGACCTATGACATTCACTTTTAAAAATAAGTCTTAACTGTCACTTTACCTCTGAGAGCCAGAATCAAACATCAGCAGCTCAAAACTCCACCCCCGAGCGTCCGACCAAGAGCCCCGGGAGGACGGCGCCTGCGGCTGGCACTGCCCGGGGCGGGAGGTCCACACTCCTTTTCCTTTTCTTCCCCTTTTAAAAAAATGTTGAGTGGTTTCCCCTAAACACCCCAATGATCAGCTTTCCTGGGAAAGCCCTGGCCCACCTGACGGTGCAGGACCCCCTCCTCCTTGGGGACAGGTGGCCATGTGGAGGCCGGGTGGGCCGAGGTGGCCGACCGTGGCCACGTGGTCTATGCGTCTGAGTCTGGGTGTGATCCTTCTGGGTGTGGGACGTGTACCTACGCACACACGTGTGGTGCCAGGGAAGCGCGGCTGTCTCTGCGGGCCACACGTGTGCGCGTGGCCATGCGGGCCACCGCTAACCCTTGTGGCTTGGGCTTGCTCTCCTTGCTGTGCCCCTGCGCGGTGAGCAGCCCAGGGGGCTGGGACGCTCTCAGGCTGTTTGCAGCTGGACTCTTCACGTGTGCCAAGTGGCCGTGTGGGGGGCGCTGGTGCCGTGGGCACGTGGACACGCAACCACAAGTCTGTGGCCCTGTGTGTATTCATGGGCATGTGGACGTGTGTCTGTCCCCATGTGTGGCCGTTTGAGGACAGTGAGTCTGTGCCAGGAGTACGTGCTGGGCTGAGCTCGAGTGGCAGGTGCGGGGTCCTGCCTGAAGCTCTGGGGTGTGCCCTCGGGTGTCCGTGGCCATGTTTGTGAATCTGGGCACAAACCTGCATGTCCCCCAGGACAGGGTCCCAGGGGTGGGGAGGCTTGGAGCAGGGGGAGGGGTGGGCAGCCTGCCCAGCAAGGGACACAGACCTGAGGTGAGACTCTGGGGACAGACAGTGCAGGGAAGCATGTGATTGGCTCAGACCAGCCCCCTGCCCCTGAACCAACCACTGGTGGGTGGCCAGGTGGGTGGCGCGCTCTGATTGGCCAGGCCGTGTCACATGTCTGCTCTTGGGGGAGGGGGCCAGGGAGAAGAAGCACCCTAGTGACAGCCAGTCCCACTGAGAAATAAAGAAAATAGCAGGGGGCAGAGGCCAGGCCTGTGTCTCCAGGGACTCCCCAGGTGGAGGCAGGAGCTGGGCAGCTGAGCGGAGGCCTGCCGGAGACAGAAGGCTGGGCTGGGGCTCGGTGCCCGGGTTCAATCCCCAGTAGAGAAGGAAGGGAAAGAGAGAGAAAGAAAATCAACCCTGGTCACCTCCCGATGCTGCTAATGATCACACCTGCCCTGCTGCCCTGGGTGTGCAAAAACCATGGCTCACAAGAAATAAGTGTCCCCACTGTGCAGGCGAGAAAATGGCTGCACAGAGAGGGTAAGTTACTTGCCTTCGGTCACACAGCCAGGAGACAGAAGCCCGAGTTCCAGCCTGGTCGTGTGATCCAGAGCCCCTGCTCTAACCACCAGGCTCTCGGCCCCACGGTCACAGCACTCCTGGCTGTGGCTTCTGTGCCACCACCTCTCGCATCTCAGACAAGCCCAGGACTCCTTCTCCCCCACCCCGGTGACGCTGGGAGGCTCCCCTGTGCTGCGTGGGACTTTGCAGGGTCTTGAAGGCTCTGAGTGGCTCAGCGGGGTTCATTCTGAGAGTCCTTGGGACTGCTGACGGACTCCTGCAGCTACTGGAGTTTCTCAGGCTCTTTCTCCGAAGCTGCTCTGGGTCTGAAGTGTTGTCATGCAGTGTTGAGATGCACCAGCTTTGAAAACACACTGTCTTTGTTCAATCCCCCTTATGCTGCTGTGGCTCCTTGGAAAATGTACTAACCCTCTCTGTGCTCAGTTTCTTCATCACTTGGATGGAGTGGTCATGAGGACATGGGTTAATTCATCTCCAAGCGTGGAGTGGAGTTTATTTCCGCTAGCATCAGGGATAATTGACTTTGGCTAGTGTCTTAGTTCTTTTTTTTTTTTTTTTTGGTACCAGGAATTAAACCCAGCGATGTTTAGCCACTGAGCCACATCCCCAGCCTATTTTATTTTATTTTTATTTTGAGACAGGGTCTTGCTAATTTGCTTAGGGCCTCCTGGCTAAGTTGCTGAGGCTGGCTTTGAACTTGTCATCCTCCTGCCTCATCCTCCCAAGCTGCTGGGATTATAGGTGTATGCCTCGGCACCCAGCTCTTAGTTCATTTTCTGTTGCTGTAATTGAATGCCACAGATTGACTAAGTTACAAAGAAGAAAGGTTTGTTTCATTCACAGTTCCAGAGGCTTGGAAGGTCGAGCTCCAGTGGCCATGTCTGATGAGGGCCTTCTGGTGGCACTGGGTGCCGCATGTTGAGATGGACATCCCCTGTCTGGGCTCTTCTCCTCTTTCTTTCTCTGAGGCTGGGGATGGAACCCCCGGCCCTGCTGACTAGTGCTCTACCCCTGAGCCACATGCCAGCCTCTCTTCCTCCCCTGAGGAGACCAGGTGCCACTGGGTTAGGCCCCACCATGAGAGCCACGAGACAGGCATTGACCCATCCAACGTGAGGCGAAGTGACCGTGGCCCTTCTGGGTGGAGACTCGGGAGGCCACTTGTCCTGTTCTGTCCTTCCTTTAGCTACAGCAGCTGGCAACATCGGTGGGGCAGGTGAAGACAGCAACCAGACCCTGGGGGCATCCACCGCAGAGAGGCAGAACAGCAAGAGGCACACGGGGGAGCCAGGTGTGGTGGCCCTTGCCTGTCACCCTAGCTGCTTGGGAGGCCGAGGTAGGAGGATCTTAAGTTCCAGGCCAGCCTGGGTGACTTAGTGAGGCCCTGTCTCATACTAATGGGGTGTAGCTCGTAGCAGAGCACCTCCCCAGGATGCACAGGGCCCTCTGTTGTATCCTCAGCACCAAAAATAAACGAATATCTGCGAGTGTGAGCGACTGAGAGATCTTGAGGCTGTTTGTTTCTGCAGCGTTTCCCTGACTGATACACCCTGGCTTTCCGAGACCTCAGACACCATCAGAGACGTCACATCATCTGATCCAATGTGCCATGCCATAACTTCCAGTTATTGTCTGCACCTGGGACAACAGGGGTGACTGTCCCTCTGGGGGCCTTCAGGGGACAGTCAGCTTCCAAACTGCCACACGGCCTTCCTGAGCTGGGTCCACATCCTGACCCCCTGAAGCCAGATCACAGGCAACACTAAGGGGGGTGGAGGGACCCGGGAGGCCACAAACGTGGCCTGGACTGAAAGAGGGAGGATGTGGGAGCAGGGGGTGAGGCCAGGAGGCCAGAAAGGCCTCCCAGGCTGGCCTCTGAATTCCTGCGATGTCCCACATCCAGACAGCTCTTTGGGGACATTCGGGTTGTCAGTGCAGCCACTGTCCCTTGCCCCTGGGACACTGAGGGTCCCTTGTTGGGATGGGTGTTTGGAGCATCTGGCTGCAGCTCCCAGACCCTCCCCCACTGCCCAGCACCTGACCCTCCTCTGTCCCCTGCTTGTCCCCCCCAATCTCTGGCTGTTTCTTGAGGCTCCTGCCTCCGGGGGTGGGTGCTCACTGGGGTCTGGGGTCTCCGCCTGAGGGTCCGGCCCTCTGCCTGGGTCTCTCCCTGTCTCTGCCACGTGACCCTCGGTGCCCCGGGTGCCGTGCCATGTGGGGGTCTCGCCCACTCTGACCCTCTCTGCCTCTGCTGCTGTTTGCCTGCTGGGTCCCTGGTCCCTGGGTTTGGGGAGGGCCCCAGGTGGCAGGTGTCACCTGGCCAGACACCTGGGATCAGTGGCCCTGCCAGGGATTTGCTGCTCCGTCTTCAGGGACCTTGAATTAAATGTCCCCCTCCAGCAGCGGAGCCCCCAGCTCCGCCGGCCGCCACCCCTCCCGGGTCACCAGGCGGCCACAGGCGTGACAATGCCCCCTGCACCTGCCAGGCTGAGCCTCGCCCCCCCACGCCCAACGCAGGCTGGACGGCCACCTCCACCCGACGGGCACTGGCCCAGGTCCTCAGCTGGACACGCTCGGGTGTGCGTCTCCGTTTCCTTCGGCTTGTTTTGAGGAGACACCAAAATTGTGAGAAATTCGTTTTCTTTTTCTCATCCCCAGATTAAAAAAAAAAAAAAACTCTTTATTTTAAAAACAATGACGGGCAGCACAGCCAGCCACAGGCACCCGCTGTCCCCTCCCCAGCACCTCGCATCATTCCCACACACTCCTGAAGCAGGACGTTGGCTGCTGCCG